TGTTATACCTGTGAAAAACCAGTGCAATAGCTTTAAGTGTTCAAGCTGAACAAATGTAGCTAGCCATCTATGAAAACCAAAGTGAGGTACAAAAGCAATTATTCTGAACTGTGTTTTCCGCTGTAATAGGTAAGCCTTTTGATGCTTAAAACTGCTTCAAGTTTAGAAGCAAAAGACTAACATAGCAAGTTTCTGTTCTATATCATTTTGTTACATTAGGGAAGGCTCTTAATGATAACTCCTGGGTAGAGCTCTGGTGATGATCACATCTTACAAAACACAAAGATGTGGCCTGCTGGAATATGACAGCCAGGCAAATTCATGCAGATACTATGAACTGAATGGAAAAAGGTTTCATGCATTCGATTTCTAATCTCCTTCTTTCAGCTATTACTCAAACAATGAGCACAAGGATTGGATCAGCCCCCCCCACAACACCCTGACCCACCACCGTCATATGAGGTTTTGATGGTGTTTGAGTTTTAGCCTCCAGTAGGAGTGGGTTTGCAGAAGTGCAAGGTGCCCCAAACCTCCCCACCACTGATGCGTGCCCAACAAGCCAGCACAATCAGAAAATGAACAGTGTCAGTGGTGGGATTAGGCCTAGTAAAGGTTAAAATGGGATATACCAATCCTGCACATTGTCTAGGCAGCTGCCATATGGGGTATCTTCTAGAGCCTCCAGCAAAACTTCCACCCCCTGGCAGAATCCATGAGTAAGTGTTGCCACCTTCCCTCCCAAAGCTGAATCCCTCCTGAGATGCAGCAGATCAGGAATGAAAAAAAGATGTGCAAATTGTACTAGCAAGAATGAATCTGGCCCCAGGAACCCAAGTTCCAAGGGTATGTTTTGAAAACAAGCATAACTGTCAGGGTTCAGTTAAAAACTGGCCTCAAGCAGAGAGGTTGGGTTCTAACTCTGGACAGGTTGGACAGATTTTATGTAGAAAGAATCTGAACACACACAGGCAAAGACACAAGTGAACCCCAGAGCATCCTGGGGAGGCTTTTAGTCTTTTCTTTTCCTTATTTTTAAAAAACAAGCAAGGAAAATGCATGCAAAAATCTTATATGCAATATTACAGATGTGCAATTACAAAAAAAAAAAAAAAAAGGTAATCAATTCAAATTCAATGTCCTCCCATAATCTTAATGTGACATATGCTGTATAAAATTGCTCAATATTGGGGTGTTCCCTCCACCCATTGTCATTACATGGCATCTTCAGAACAAGAACCGAGTAGGTTTACCATTTCCTGAAGGAATATGGTGAGGAATGTGGCTGCTGTGATCTGATCACCCTGCCTGTGAGTTTCACACAGGTGCCTCCACCCTCCTCTCCCTGGCAAACAACCACCTGTGACAAACCAAACTAACTCCAAAGAAATTCTTAGAGTTTTACCTAGACTCCATGAAGTCCACTTAGAACTTTGCTATTGCAATTGATTTTAAAGGGAGTGGGCTCAGATACTGTGGTGATGAGGCAGCAGGATAAACCCGAGAGGGAGGGAGGTAGCCAAAATCTTTTGTTCTTGCTTTTCTTGATATTTGTACACAGTGCCATGACATATGCAAGATGTGTGGCAGAGTCAAGTTAAAACTGATATAAGCAACTATAACTTGTTGCATTTCCTGATTATTTTTTTTTGGCTGCCTAGTAAGGCTCAACAAAATAAGGCTCTTAAGTGTGTACCTTTAACATCCAGGGTAATGACAGGGTTTGTGACTTTAATCAATAAGTTATTTTCCTTATTTTAACATATAGTAAAAGGACACTTGAGTTGTACCTATAACTTTGGTTACTAGAAATAGGAATAACTTTTCCTTTTCACTCCTCCTTAACCTTTTCACTAGTTATTCATAGACATGAAGGCTGATAACCATAATGTTTTCTATTAATAGTAACCAACCCTTAATAATAGCATTTAACATAGCCAGGGATCCAGAGGGAAAAAACTTTTGTTCCAAATAATTAGATGAAAGAAACTAGAGGTTTGGTGGCAGCATTAACAAATGTAAATTTCCATAGAGAGAGAACCTCAGTTATTTGTTATAACATTGTCACATTATTATTTCTTAGTATTTATTTGTACTAAGGTAGTGCCCAGGGACCTCATGGACAACTGAGGCCTCATTTTGCCGGACTGGGTTTATAATCTAAAACCCTGATCCTGCAAATACTTACATTATGTAATCTTAAGCACATGCATAAGTCTTTGCAAGATCAGGCCCTAAGGCCCTGATTCAGTAAGATACATAGGCCCTGCTCCTGCTCCTACTGAAATCAATGGTAAAATTACCATTAACTTAAACAGTGCAAGATCAGTCCCTAAATGCCTTGGTTTCAGTGAGTGGGACTACTCCCATGTGTATAATTAGGCATTAAGGCCCAGGTCCTCAAAAGTATTTAGGCACCTTATTCCCACTAATTAGTTAGGTGGCTAACTACCTTTGAGGATCTGAGCCTAAGTTCCTCACTGCTGAATTGGATTTCAGCAGATAAAAGAGATTTCCTGGATTCTTGGTCATGACTCTGTAACAGGGAGACAGCCTAATGAAAAGTTTCTTCTCTTCAAAACATTGTGAGTACGGTGTGAGAGGCTGCCACATCACACCATCTACGAAAGCAGAATCACATAACATAATAGGATGTTACTTAGTTTGGAATGTAGCAGACCACTTTGAAAAAAATATCTTTCCTAGAGTGCTACATCCAGTTATATAAACTCTTCTCCCCTCTCTTTCCTCAACACCTACCCTTGATCATGTTTAAAAAATTCCAGATTGGGGAGGGTGAGAAGATAGGAAATAAAAAATCCAGCCTGCAGGTGGTGCAGAAGACAGTGTGAAGTATTCCTTTTGAAATACAGCCTTCCTCACAAAGGTTACTGTTGTTCCTATTTAGACCCATTTGAAGAACTTGAATGTGTCTGCATTTTCTCCGTGATTGAAATCAAATCACTATATGAGTGCATTGTTTGGTTTTCATCACCAGAGGTCACTGAGACACTTTTGCTCTTTGCTAAAAGTGTTCCTTTTCCAGCAGATAGCATGAGAGAATGTAGGGCTCTCGCCTAACTTTGATTAGGCTGTGAAGATTGGAACAGAAAAAGACAGAGATAAGAGTGAAAAAAAAATAGTAAAAAAGGCTGTTAAAGGGGAGTCACTCATCAGCTTTTGAAATGAGTATATTTCATATGAAGACTGATAGTGTCTGTGTTTCTGTTTTTGGCTGCATATGCATCTTGTGTCCTGGTGTATACCTCATCCCCTGGAGACAGGGTCTGTACTTCCAGTCTTGGTGCTGGGTTTACAGCTTAACCCTGGCTCTTGATACATCAGCTGAGGGTAAGGTATTTCACAGGGAAGGTTATTTTCACTAGGGTGGTAGAAAAAAAGGGGGAAAAAGCTCTCTTTTCAAATAGCAGGATTTGACTAGTAAATTGGCCAGCAACCATTAGCTGAATTTGAATCTGTGTTTGCATGTTTATGAAAATGATGAGGGAGTAGATTTGGGATTAGTCATTGGTGACAATGAGGAATTCAAACCAAAAGATCCATTTGAGCCGGCAATAATGTGAGTGTTGGTGTTTGCAGCTGATACCCCAGTATAACAGATTGAGCCAAACACAGATGCAGTCAGAGATTGCTTTAGAAAAAAAGTACAATACATGAATGAACTGTTAGCAATGATGATCCATTGTTACAACAATTATTACTGACCTTCCTGCAGTCATTGATTGTACAAAAGTAAACACTTCAGTTTCTACAAGCAGGAAAATAATGTTCGTTTCAAACAGTACTGGTGGAATAAAAAAATACTTAACTCATATATTGCTTTTTAGATCTCAAAAATGCTTTCAAAGGAAGATATCGTTATCCCATTTTACAGATGAGAAAATTGAGGCACAGAAAGCTGAAAGGACTCGCTTCTGGCCAGTGGCAGGTCCAGTAACAGAACTCAAGTTTCCTAACTCTGGTGCCCACTCCACTGGACCACACTGGGTAAAAAGAGATTCAGTTTCAGACTCCAAGAAATAAGTCAATTTGCTGCAAATTCTTCACTTCTCTTTTTCCTTACACGTCTATTCGGTTTTGTTGGAGTGTCTGAGAGGTGTGTGTTTGCATAATATACCTATATCAGAGATCAAATTAGATAGTTTTTTTTGTCAACAGAGGTCAGTCATCATTCTGAATGTAACTACCTTTTCTCATCAGTCCACCAGACTTAGGTGGTACAGGGAAGGGTGGCTAGTTTGAATAATATTGTTGTCTTCAACAGAAGTAAAAAAAGTATAACCCTCCTAGCTTCCCAGTGGAGGTAATGAAGGCTCATAGGAGAAACATACAACTTTCAGTGCTTTATATTGTTAACAAGCCTCTTCCTGAATTGAAATTATATCACGGGAGGTTGGTGTTTACACAAATAGTGTAGCACACACTGGGGGACCAATGTTTTAGTTTGCAACAACATAATTGGGGGAATTTTTGCATTCAAAGGCCATGTCTACTATACCAGCATAGCTATGCAACTGTAGCTATGCCAGCGTAACCCCATAGTGTAGATACAGCCTACTCTGACATAAGGGGTTTTTTCGTTGGTTTAGGACCAATGTTAGCTAGGCAGATATAGGCATTCTTCCATCAACCCAGCTGCATCTACACCAGAAATTAGGTTGGCATAGTTATGTCATTCAGCTGTGTGGATCTGTCACACAGTGATGTAGCTGTCAACCTAAGTTTCAAGTATAGGCCCAGGCCAAACTTAGTGACAGACTAACATTGCCAGATGACATCTGACCTCACAAGTAAATAAAGGCAAGTCAATGGTATCCACACTGTAAGGTTCATCCTGGCATGCTGTATTATTTATTGTTTGTATTACTGCTTCAGGTGGGTACATAGGTTTACATTCTCTTCTGATGTAAAGGCATAACCCAAATAGCCCCTGGCACATTGTTTTTGTCCAGATATCTTCTTTTAACTTGGACTGTAGGAGATTAAACATTCTTAAACAGCAGGTGTTTTTCACTGACTCCAGGTAGTTTACAAACAACATCCTTTCCATTCAAGTTCTTCCACTTCTGTGCAGCCAATAAGAGAGACAGTTTCAGTCCATTGTTTTGTTCATCTGAAGAAGTTTCAGTCATCTGAATGCCTATGGAGTGGAAAGATGGTTTTGAGGTCACAGAGTCTCTTTGTTGAAGTTTCTTCGTCTTTCAAATGAGGATATCAATATTAATATTTGCTTAACTCACATGGGTTCAGGGACTCTAAATTAACCGCTCTTTGGAAAATATGACAACATCTTTTCTGAAAGGTGCTATGCAAGTTCAAAGTCCTATTATTGTTACTCATGTATTAGTCACACTGTATATATTGGTGGGTCTAAGGGGAAATGAGTAAATCTGCTTTCAGCAAGCAGAAACTTTTCAATCTCCTCTTTCATTCACTGGTGGTTGGTTTCTCCCAGATTACCCACCCAACAAAAGCCTTTTGAGATTGGAAATTTTTCCTGGGGTAAAGACAAACTGAACTGGCTAAAGGGTAGTTGTTTTTATTACAAGAGGACTTAAAAAAAAATAAGAGCCCATTTACTTCAGCAATGAGGAATACCTATTGTTATTCATTGTTTCTTATCATTGTGGATAATATTGTAAAGCCAAGATCAAATAGTAGGTGTTTGGTTCAAGGGCTGCTAGTGCCCTGGAATTAGTAGCTGAAGTAGTGATACAGCGATAGTGATACAGCAGATTCATTTCAAATACTAAAAAGAAAAGGAGTACTTGTGGCACCTTAGAGACTAACCAATTTATTTGAGCATAAGCTTTCGTGAGCTATAGCTCACTTCATCGGATGCATACTGTGGAAAATACAGAAGATGTTTTTATACACACAAAGCATGAAAAAATGGGTGTTTGTCACTACAAAAGGTTTTCTCTCCCCCCACCTTTTGTAGTGATAAACACCCATTTTTTCATGGTTTGTGTGTATAAAAACATCTTCTGTATTTTCCACAGTATGCATCCGATGAAGTGAGCTGTAGCTCACGAAAGCTTATGCGCAAATAAATTGGTTAGTCTCTAAGGTGCCACAAGTACTCCTTTTCTTTTTGCGAATACAGACTAACACAGCTGTTACTCTGAAACATTTCAAATACTGTGAGGTAGAGTCATATTCAACAAACTAACTGATCTGTTGTCGCTAGAAAAATATTAACTAGATGTCTAGCTATTTGATTTGTGGCTGCATGCAGCCGGTTAGATCTCAAGTTATTGTTTGTGCCTACAATGGGCACAAAAATATGGGCACAGTTATTGCTGGTCCAAAATTGCACTCACGGCTGAAAATCAAGCCCTCAACTTATTTTTTTTAGACTGTCTCTCTGTTGTATTTTAATAGAAAGGTCAGGTAATGGGAATCTAAATTGCTCAAGGAGAATGGATGGACTACAACAAATAAGAACGAATATTGGTCTTGAAATTTTACACCTGTGAAACCAAAGCTACAATGAGTTTCACTTGAGAAAGTAAATAAACTAGGCAATTTAGCACCATAGCTTTCTAGTCCTTTTAACGGGGCCAGTCTATTACTCATACTGCCTGCCCTCTTTGATTTCAAAGTTCTTAATTATAGTGTGTTTTGCAACTAAAAATGCTTGCATTATTTGTCCTACTAGAGGAAATAATCTATCTTCTTGGTTGTGTGTGGGTAACATTTTTTAACTGTAACAAGGAGGGTGAGGTAATATCTTTTATTGGACCAACTTCTGTTGGTTAAAAGAGACACGCTTTTGAGCTACACAGAGCTCTTCTTAAAATCACTGTGCAAGTTCAAAAGCTTGTCTCTCTGACCTACAGAAGTTGGTCCAATAAAAGAAATTACCTCCCTCACCTTGTCTCTCTAATATCCTGGGACCCACACAGCCACAACCACCGTTGTTTAATCGTTAATTTAAGACAGGTATGCAAGTCAGCATAAAAAGTTAAAACACTGTAAGTTTGAAATAAGAACACTTGAGAGAGTTCAAAATGAAAACATTTTGAAGTCCATGGTAAGTGTGGTACCAACTCTTGTACTTTATCATAAATCTCTCAATGTTTGGTATTTTTCTTAAAGCCTCAGCTTCTGGAGTCAAGTGATTCCATAAGAATCTCAGCTTTAATTAAAAGGAAGGGTAAGATTTTTGTCCTTGTGATTGCAGAGAAAAGCTTGCAAACATTAATTCTAAAGGCTTAAGAAACAGAAGGAAAGAACTCGAGGTTTATTATTATTTAAAAATCGCATTATTTTGAAGCCAATCGCATGGGGTTTTTTTGGGGGGGGGCAGCTGACTCATGATTTTCAGCACATGGGGTTGCAAAACTGTAAGTCTCCCCATTTTTGTGACGTTTGAAATTTTTCATTGCCTTTAAATACAGGTTATCTTTGAAAAAGATAGAGATTGGTACACTAAGGGTGAAATTCACCTGTTCAAAGTCAGAACAGTACTTCGACTTAAGCAGACCTTTTGCTGGCCCATTGCATGGGGGTGATTTTCATTCTGTGTTAAGTTATAAATCAGTGCAGTAACTGTTCTGCAAACACATGGTTGTGAAATCCTCATTCAGACAAAACTTTCATGGAAGTTAGCAAGAATTTTGACTTGACTATGGGGCCTGGGCCCCAAATCAAATGTACAGAGTACAAAGACAAAACATGAAGTGACATTAGATGTATATTATAGTGATTGTTTAGGTATCCATTCAGTAAAAATCCCTGCTCATTTTCAAAAACCATATTAATGGTCTTCTTTAGAACATGTGCCGCATTTGGGAATATTTTGTTAACTGGCCTCATTTTGCTTTTGTTTTTATCATGTAAATTATGGGCCAGGTCAGGCCATCAAGCAGGTGTTTCAATGGCTTTAAAACTGATAACATGAAATGGACCTATGTTATTTCAGTAGGAATTTCTCTAGAAGCACAGTGCCACAATGAGAATTTAGCAGGACATTTGGTTTATAATGCACAGACACTTCCCCCCACACAGCAATCAGATCCAGTGTCTCCTGTATGCTACACGCTGGAGCACGTTTGCATACTTGGGCAGTCTGGTCAACTGTGGTGGTGAGCTCTCCACGCTGATCAAACAGGAAATGAGTTCCCGGGGCTTTTCCTGTTTACCTGGCTGAAGTGCAGTGGAGTTGAAAATGTTGTCCAGAATGGACACATTGGAGCACTCTGGGACACCTCCCAGCAGCCAAACAAGTCGAAATACACTGTGCGGTGTCTACACTACCCCTAATTCAACCAGAGAAGCTCAAATCTAGTGCTACTCCTCTCATTGAGGTGGAGTACAGACGTCGATTTTAAAAGCCCTTTAGGTTGGCAGGAAGGACTCCATAGTGTAGAGAAGCACATTATAAATTCGACCTAATGCAGGAAATGTCGATCTAACCACGTAGTGTAGACCAGCCCTGATTCAGCAAGCCTAGAGGTGCCGGGGCTCAGCCCTGGCAAGCCCTGGCACAAATTAAGCACTGCTATTCTTCTATCTTGTTGCTTCAGCCACATCAGTTCTCTCTTTGCATCCCTCTACTGGCTCCTCCTTCTCCACTGCATTAAACACAAACTACTTGTCCTCACTTATAAGGCCTTTCACAGCCTACCCCTGCCCTACCTATCATTTCTTATGTAGCATCAAAACATCAGTTCCCACATTTGTAATACAAGTGATGCCTGTCTTAGCTGCCCGTTTGTAAAATTTTCTAACAAACACCTTTGATCTTTTCTTCCTTTTTACCTCTTATGCATGGAAGGAGTTCCTGAAAATATCCTCAAAGCCACTGTTACTGTCATTTCAACCCTAACAGCTGATCCTCTTTCAGTATGGTTTGACTTTCCCTAAGTACATAGTGCATTACTTATGCCCATGATAAAAAATAATAATGTAACATTATAGTCATTGGCAAACATTTTATGTGGACATCTGCAGTATTGCTTCTTGGTTAATGGCCAACTAAACCATTAACAGCAACTAATGGTGTAGAAGAAAAATTTCCTCCAGAGCTACTTTCTAATTGCTAGAAAAGCAAACTAAAAATACCCTTTGCAGGTTTAGGGCCAGATCCTCAGCTGGTGCAAACAGATGTAACTCCATTGACTTCAATCACTCTGTGCTGATTTACAACAGCTGAGGATCTGGCCCATTGATTTCTGAAAAAATAAAAGCATAGAAATAAACAAACAAATAGGATGAGACTTGTCTCAGTCTCCCCATTGATTTTATTTGTATCTTTAAAAGACGTGCAAAAAAATCAGATAAAATAAATAGCCGCTTACATGAAATTTTAAAATATGCTTGCTCCTTGCTCACGTTTGAATGGTCTTTAAACACTCTCCACCCATCCAGAGTTTTTAAAGAATTAAAGAGTACATTTTAAGCACACTCTTTTAAAAATTCTCACCTGAGCCTACCCCCAATTCTGATGGATCCCTTTTTCCCAGGTAACCCCCATGGCACCAGTGGCCAGTTGCTTGGCATGCAACAGTAGCTACCCCATGCCTCTCCTTGAGATGACTTTCCCCACAGAAAGCCCACCATGAAGTCTTGTGAAAGAGGAAATGTGCTGCATGAACAATTCATAATGGTTCTTCTTTATACTGAATCTCTTCTCAAATTCTCTTCCTTGATTCTCTCTTCATCCAGAATCTCACAGACTTCTCTGAGGAGAACACTGATGCAGTACAGACATTTCACTCTGTTTTCACTATCCACCCTCCCCCTCACCGTCCTCTCAACCCCTCCCCAACTTTCTCTCCACCACCTTGGTCTCGGTCCCTGAGGAGTCGCTCCAACTTGCAGCATCTAACCACTCAGCTGATCCTCTTGTTCCATCCTCCTACCTGACCCTGGAGTGCATGGTCCGCCACTCTCTGCAGACGGTTTCTATGCTGCTCTATGAAACTGCAATAGTTCCATTGCTGTAGGAACCTTATGTGGGCTCTGTGAGATAGGGTGGATTTCACCCTAAAAGAGGTATGAAATGGTAATTAGATAGTTTGCACTGCACGTTAAGAAAATACCAGGTGGATGTGTAAAGCGACCTTTTAAAATAATTTGATTTCAACTGGATAACACACCAATTTAATTTGTTTTGTTTTTTCCCCAAGTCAATACAAATATCAACAGGGTCTCAAATACACCCTATAGTTTTCCAATGTCATGGGCAAGTGAGAGCAGATCAGATTCAGGGTACACCTCTGCACTGCTGGATGTGGTGAATTTCCAAATATTTTCCTGCTCTGCTCTGATTGGCATGGTGGAGACTTTGGCTAAAAAAGCCAGTAGAACTCATTAGATATTCAACAAAGTGTCCTGATGTTATTAGAGATGGACGTGAGCCACCATGTTCAGATCTGGACTTTCCCAAAGTTTGGCTTATTTGAATCTAGGATTTTAGTTCAAGCTACGAAAAAGATGGGGCAGCTATAACGTTTGGACCTGGACTCAAACTTTTCCAAAGTTAAGGGATTATCTGATCTAGGGATTTGGTTTAAATCTATCCCAAGTTATTATATACAATTGTCTTTTTTGTTTCATACAACAAAGTGGGATTTTGTTTTTGGCTTTTTAGAAATTTCATTCATTGTTTATTCAGTGCCAGTACAAAAGACAAGATCCATTCTTCTGTTAATAACTGTGCCAATGCCTCTGTAATATTAAGGAAGATTAATACTTTCTGTGCATATAATGGAAAAATATAAATAGGACTTAAGTTTCATCAAATCTTTGTATGCATTTAACATAGATGATATGCTTCATTCTAAACTTCTGAATACTCTTTTGAATTGTGAACAGAAAGAAGTGTTTTTTTTCCCCAGTGGTGCTTGCCAGATTTTATGGATCAGATCAGAACATATGTGTATGTGTGTGTATATATATATATATAACATATATATACACACACACACACACCCTCATCCAGAAAAGAATGTCACCATTTGCTTAACTTTAAGCATGTGAGGGAGCTTGTGAGGGATTACTCATGAGCTCAATTTAAGCACATGCTTAAGTGCTTTGCTGGATCATAGCCATAGGACAGAATATAGAATTATGAGATACTATAAATATTCACACACATTTCACTGATGGTAAGTTAAGTTAACGTACACCTCTCTTCCAGCAGATACTGTAGACATTTACTATTGTGCCATTCAGTGGCTTCAGGCAAACAACCTTCAATCTGAGTGTTCAAGTACTGATTCTACGCAGAACTTCTAAAAACCTTCACACTGTGCTTAGAACTGGCATCAGAATTAATTCAAAGGTCCCAAGATAAACATTGTAATTATGGTTCATATAAGAACTTTGCTATTTTCTCCAGAATGAGGGGTTTGGGGCTTTGTGGAAATGTCTTACATTTCTTTTCTCTGCTGCCCATTTAACTGATGGCCTTGATGCAGCGACTGCTCCTTCCTCCTCTTCTGATTCATATCCCTGTATTTCTTCTTCAAACACTGCGTCAAACTGGGGCTTTGGCATTAAAGCCGGTCTTCTTATTCTAGCTGTGTGATCCTGCTTGCTTGGGGTTCCCCTCTGATCTGCAAAATCTGACAGTTTCTCTCTTCTATCTAACCGCTCCATCAGAACCATCTCCTGTTGACGACGGTTTGCTCCAAGTGAGCCTGCTCGGAGCTGTGGACTGAACATGATGGAGACCATTGAATCAGAATCACTGCTGTAATCACCTGGACATTAACACAAAAGGGATTGGTATTATTAGAAAAAAAAGAGAGTATTTTATTAAGAACTATTAAAAGAAAATACTTAATATAATAGAGTATTATTCTGAGGTCATAGATGTTACACTGGAGCTGTAGTGCTTGGGGTAATTACTGTAAAATAATGTACATGTTATGAGGGACAATTAAAATAACCTATATTTCTTAAGTAGTGGAGAGACAATGGATTTTTGGCAAATAGTGCATCCTGTATTGGGCTTTGTTCTACCCTTAAACCTTAATAAATGAGCGTACTCTGCTCCATGTTAATAGCTCTCAATGCTGCTATGGTCATATTATCCCATGCAGGAAACTCATTCTTGTAAGTTTTAATGTTCTGCAAGTTATTCAAGCAGATAACCAAACCCATAATTCTGAAGCATTACAAAAAACACAACCTAGACCTGAATGTGATTGATGAAAGGTTTCCAACTGGAACATTACAGGTCACCTGCAATTAGCAAGACCAAAATAACCAGTTGCACCTGAAGGTTTGGCTTCAGGGCTCTTTGATTAACCTGGGTGTGTCAGAGGAAGAGACTTCTCTGAAGTCAAAGTTCCGTAACCGTATTAGAAACACACCCTTTGGCACCCAAGGCACTTCCATGGTCTCTGGTGCAAAACTTTTGCCTACAACAAGGTGAACTAGCCCTCTTGTCCTATTTATTTAACTAAGAAAATCTTTGCTCTTTCATTAATTACAGACCGTCTGAAGGTGTAAAATAAATTAGCCACACTATTACATAATTACTCATAAAAATTACAGGAACCTTCAAATAAGCAAAAATACATGAAGGGTTATAAAACAGATTATATCCTATTGCAATTAAACACACACATAGTTGTCTCAGAGAAAATGGACAATATGAAGAAAAAAATTTAAACTCTGAAAGAGGACTGGACATAATAAGGGGGCTTATATCTATATCTAGCCAGATGGGGTAATCGGTGCTACAAAGTGTCAGACATATTGGTCATAGAAATATTTACTTGTGTGAAACAGGAGAAAAATTACCACTATTTTGAAATTTGGTTAATTTGTGTTACCATGCTGTTTTGGATACTCAAGCAACCAAAGCCCCAGATCCTCACATGTATTTAGATGCCTAGTCCCATGGGCTCTGTCAAAGTGACTAATTTTCTTTGCATCTCACTGTGTTCTGCTGAAGTTTGTTTTGCCTTCCCTGATTATTACCAGTGGGTAGCAGAAGCTTCTGATTATTGTAAACTCCCTGCATAGATTCACTGATGTATCTTTAAAACTATATGCCCTGAGCTAGATTCTCAGCCCAGCCTCAGCTGCTTTGCACCATTCCTGGGGTATGTTCCAAATTCTCCAATGAAATAATAGGAGATTTGCTAATGGCAGCAATAAGGAAAGGTTAGGCCCTAAGAAAGGGATTGCAATAGATCTTCATATCATAGACTATTGTGCTGAAATATTTAACAGCTTTTTAACAGGGCTGATATCCTTTGACCCAGTGGTGAGCTGGAGCCGGTTCATGCACACCGGTTGTTAAATTTTGAAGCCGGTTTAGAACCGGTTTAGACTTCGGCGGTGGGTCCCTCACTCGCTCCGGATCTTTGGCAGTCCTTCAGTGCCGCTGAAGACTCAGAGCAACTGAAGGACGTGCCACCGAAGTGCCGCCGAAAACCCGGAGCGACTGAAGGAACCGGTTCTTCAGCTTTTGGCAGCTCATCACTGCCTTGACCCATAAATCCTGTTAGTTACCACCTGTTTTATAGCTGTAGTTCAGAAATCTCTTTGGAAATAAATAACTTTGAAGGTTTTGGCTGGGATCTTATCAAGGGCTCCTTACTGTGTTATGCACCCAATGTATGCACAACCTGAAGTGGGTAGTTTGCTTACACGGATCACAAACACTTTCTTTTGTTTCAATAGGAAAAAAGAAATGGAACAGAGTAAATCATTTTGCACATGCAGGAAACAAGCAACATTTGGCTTTTCACTATTTTTCCTACAAAGGTGATTTAAAAAATAGTGTCATTCACTGCCAGATTTTTAATTTTGGCAAAACTGAATAGCCGTTTTCAACAAAAGTGTGTTTCAGGAGTCCATATGTAAACAAAAAGCAGAAAGGTGTCTAGTGGCGCATGATCTAACAGGTAGGATAATGGACAGAGAGTTAATAGACCTAGGTTCCATGCCTAGCTCCAACACTGGCCGGCTGTGTGACCTTGACAAGTCACATCACTGCTCTTGACCTCTGTTTCTCCTCCCACCCAGTGTCTGTCTTGTCTACTTAAATTGTAAGCTGTTCAGAGTAGAACTGCATCTTACTCTGTGTATGTAGAATACATGCTACAAGAGGGTCTGATCTGCTACTGTCATACCAAGAAGAAGAAGAAAAATGTATATCACAGTGGAGATGAGGGAAGAGACAATAGACACTTTGGGGCAGATTGTGTCTGAACCCCCAGGTGTCTTCCTGGCTCTTGAGGCAACTACAATGGACTCTGGGAAATATAAGGGGAGCCAAAAGACATTCTAGTTTTCCATCATTTAGGGAAAACAGGGAACGGTGCCCTCTATGTTTCTGAAGGTTGGATCCTCTGGCCTGGAGGGCTGTAGATGTTGGTAACTTGATGTAAGTGAGAAAACTGTTTAGGCAAAAATTGTAACTTGCTAAAATTCAGTTTTAGTCACTAGAAAGTGTGTTATGTTTTGTTTGTCACCTCACCTGTCTCTTTCTCCTGCTTAGTATTATTTAACTCTTTGTTGCTTATTAATAAACTTATTCTTAGTTTTATTATAAACCATCTCAGTGCTGTTATATTGAAGTAAAGAGCGAACCAGCAGGCTAGTCCCATGAGAGGGAACTTGAGAACTGGGATTCAGTGATTGTTACCTTGCAAGGCAAGGATCAGACTAGCAGAATCTTGAGGAGTTTGCTGGATTAGACTGGTGTAGCAGGAACCTGACCGACAATCTAAACTCCAGCAAAGTTCGCCCTGGCTGAGGCGAAGGGGTAACACAGTGGCTTATTGGTTCTGGGTGTCCTGAGCAGATGACCACAGTTGGTGCCATGTAAACACCATGGAGAGACAGATAGGTGAAGGCGATGTGACTCATTTAAAGAAACTTTGGATTTCTTAGGGGGATATTGTTGTAAAATTCATGGAACAAATTCTCTGTTTTCCACTGTATCCTTTTGGAGAGGTATGCAGAGTAAAGCGTGTTTGTTACCTGTAGAAGCATCATGCCTTGCTTTTCGTCTCGCTGTATGATGAGTACCATACGGTAAAGTGAAGAAACGCAAATTTTGGGTGCTAGCCTGTGAACAAAGACAGAAAAGCATACAGTATATTTAATTGTGCCAGCCTGGATTCAGAAGCAGAACCAGTTCAGCATGCAGGACATTCCAAGCTGTGCCTTTCCACTGTTTAAACTATATGGGCCAAATTCAGTCTGAGATAAATGGGGCAAGTTCCCAAGGAAGACTCTGGATTTAATTCAATGAAAAGGCAGTATAACAATAGAGGCACTGTTTTGGCATTCAATGATGGGCCAAATCAATGTAATTTACACACCAAGGGACTGGAAATCTGGGTTGTTACAAGAATAGCAACTAGCAGCAAGATGGAAACAAAGGGTAGTGGTTATTTGGGCTTTGCTGCATTTTGTGCTACACCTACACAGATGTGCTACAACAGTGTGAAACCAGTGTAAGTGGATTTACACTTACACCTTCCACACCCTCAGAGCCTGATTCTGAATCCATTTACACTGGGTTTACACCAGTGCAAACAGGATCAAAATCTGACCCTTGGGGTATGATCCAAAGCCAGCTGAAGTCAATGGAAAGACTCCCATTGACTTAAAAGGGCTTTGCCTTAGACCCAAGGTGTGTGTTTCATTTGTTTTGTACCCACAGTGAATGGCAAAGTTAGTGCAAGTTACAGTGCTTTACCTCTTACAACCAATTACACTGTGTTCTGACTAGCATACAGGTGACATGTCACTGACGTTATTGTTGAATATAGCTCGTTGTTTCCAGGTGCTTTCCTCTTCTGATGCTCTGTGGGAAATATTCATTCCAATTATTGCAAAAGTAAGTTAAAATTGGCTGGGTTTTGTACGTCCAGAGGCAGGCAGGTATCTTTATGCCCTGATCACACAAATTGTAGCTTGCATAACAATTACCGGTTTCCCCCAAGAAAAGCTGTTTCCTTTCCTCACACTCTGCCTCAGGCTGTTCTGGCGCCGGATGAGAATTTCTTTGGCTTGTTTCTCGCTTGTTTCTGTTGGCAGGTTGTGTCTGTTATACGACAGGGTCTGAAATAGAAAATACATGTATTTGACTCTCTTCCCTATGCACACTTGCCGCATTGGCTCAAGCAGCGCAGTCCAGTCAAGCATGCGACTGGGAGCAAGGAACTTCTCTTGTGTCCTGTTCCTGGCTCCGCCACAGACTTGCTGTGAAATCTTGCACAACTTCTCTGGGACAGATCCTGGCCTTCAGTATGGCCCCCTTGTAGCACTCCAGTCCCTCCCTACCTGTGCAGTGGTGAATTCCCTGGTGGTGAACAGCCAGCAAAGCGCAGCTCTACATGATCCTTACCCACATGTCACATCCTACAGAGCTGTAGCTGGGCCCAGGAGGAAAGGATTGCATAAACTGGAGGACCCTTAGGAATTAAGGAAGTCCAAAGATGGGGACCTTTGCTTCCCACTCCGTTCCTGCACCAGATAGATCTCAGTCAGAACCAAGGACTGACCCCTCTGTTTCTTAGGCCTGGTCTACACTAGAAAGGCAGCACATCCTGGCATTTTGTGTCCTACCGACAAAAGTTTCCATGTAGCCAGCAGCGATTCCCCATCTCTGAGCAGCATACATCCTCTGCCAGATTAGTTCTATCCGTGCAATTCAAGGGTGGATTCTACCACACTGGTAGAAGCTATAATGCCACAATGCAACATTACCTTCAGCAGTGTCTGGTAAAAGTTTAGTCACTGGGCCTGATTCTCTATTATCTTGGGTAACCATTTACACCTATCCAAAGTGAGTGTAGGGTGGATGTTAAACTCTTTGGGCCTAATTCTCAGCTACACCGAAGCTGCTTTACACCACACTGACATTGTAAAAGAGCCTTAAAGTGGGCATTCGTTTAATGTATACTCACTTTAAGGCTCTTTAACACTGCCAGAGTGGTATAAAGTGGCTTTAGTGTAAATGAGAATCAGGCCCTTCCATTTTAACTTGACAGAAATTTACAATCACTGTGCACTGGTGAATATGGCTGCAAATGGTGCAAGGCTGTAGAGAATCAGGCCCTCAACCTGTGAAATGAGAGTAAAAGTTATCTACCTCATAGGGGTGTCGTGAGGGAAAATTCACTGATTTTTGTACAGCAATTTGAAGATTTAGGACCTGATCTCAATCCCATTTATACTGGATTCACACTGATGCAATTCCAGTGACATTCCAGAGCATAGTTAGGCCCTCAGAGTTCAAGATAAGTGGGTAGTAGTGTTATTAAAATCCTTCATTTCCAAAAGAAGATACGGTTTCAAATACCACATAGCATGCTATAATGCAGCACTAGTAGATCTTAAGGTAACTGATTTTGCAGACACAGGGTTCACGTCAGTAATGTATAGGACAGATGCATATGGAACTTGCTAGTAAGATAAGAAATACCTTTCATAAGGGCAATTGGCTACAATTCAGACAATTTTAAAGAAGACTGTAACATGAACAATGACCTGTTATAAAATGATTATTCTTCATATGTTACTTTAGTCAGAACAGTTGATCAACATAATTTCAGGGTTACCCAAGTGTACCTGCTAGCACACTTTGCCATAGGAGAGCATGGCAGTGCTCAGCATTATGCTTGGTTGGTTAGTGATGCATTGGACTGGGTTACACTGATGTTGCACCTTTGACCAGCATCACACTGTATTTTTCACAGGATACCAAAGTCACGTCCATTTTTTTCAAAATAAATCCTTGCTGAGGCCCAGCTCACAGAAAAGCTTACAAGACGAGGCTCTGGGTGGGAGGGAGTTCTTCCCCTATCATCCTATCTTGAGGGATCTTTGTCTCCCACGTAGAACAAGCCATGAGACCTACCTCCCAAATCTGTCAAATCTACGTAGGTCCTGTGCCTCCACAACAGTGCTGGCCCCTAATGGCCCTGCTGCTCCTTCACAGGGCAGGGCCATTGAGATTAGAATAATATCAGTTTTAAACCTACTCTGCAGATGGTTTGCTTTAAAAAAAAAAAATGTAACGGCTGCACATGTTCAGGTAAATACCATGACTCCTAAATTCCATATCAGCTCCACCTCCTCAGTTGCCATGAAAATACTCGACAGGTCTGCTGTTGCAGTCACAGGTCACAGCTTGTGTGTGACTGGAGAGAGAGAGGGCTTGGAAAGTTAAACTAGATAAACTAGGTGTTGGGCAATATCAGAAAGGAGAACATTCCTGAGTCACCGAGATCTTTACAGATAGGGAAGCCTGACCTCTAGAGCTAGTTTCTGGATTTTCTTGTCCTGTTACATTGTAGATCAGACATCAGGGTGAAAACTCTAGAAGGCAAACTCCCTTTTACTTTTTGGTACTGTGAGATCTGAGCGCAATGGGCCAGATCCTCAGCTGATGTAAATCAGAGCTCCTCCATTGAAATCCAATTGACACCAGCTGAGGATCTGGCTCAGTATTTCCCATTAACACAGTTTCATGGTTCAGCTGAGAAGAACAATACTATCTTTGCAGCTACCATTGGTTGTTGCTATCATGGCGAGGAGGGTACACATCATCTTTTGATCTACAAGTACAGAGCTTTGTTACAAGAGTCGCTTACACACCCTTTGTCGTACTTGATACAGACTGTGTGTCAGCATATCCCGCATGGACTCCACCTCTTCAGAGGAAAGTTTATGCATTGTTTGATTTCTATAGCTTCTGTAAATAGAAGGAAAAGGTAAACATTATAGTAATTTGTACAAATCACACAGGAATTATCTTTCCTATAAAATTATTTATTTTCATATGTTATTATTTCTAGAGCACTGCAGGTGGGAATGGCAATTTTGTAGCCAATGATACTAAGGAATCAATGAAAGCTAAAAAAAGAGAAAACGTCCTAGTTTGTTTTGTTTTTTAAATTTTTGCACTTTGCATCATCTTTTGAAGAAAGAACATAAGAATGGCCATACTGGGTCAGACCAAAGGTCCATCTAGCCCAGTATCCTGTCTGCTGACAGTGGCCAGTGCCACTGCCCCAGAGGGAATGAACAGAACAGGTGATCCATCCCCTGTTGTCCCGGCAAACAGAGGCTAGGGACGTCATCCCTGCCCATCCTGGCTAATAGCCATTGATGGACCTATCCTCCATGAACTTATCTAGTTCTTTTTTGAACCCTGTTATAGTCTTGGCCTTCACAACATCCTCTGGCAAGGAGTTCCACAGACTGACTTGTGCATTCTGTGAAAAAATACTTCCTTTTGTTTGTTTTAAATCTGCTGCCTATTAATTTCATTTGGTGGCCCCTAGTTCTTGTGTTATGAAAAGGAGTAAATAACACTTCCTTATTTACTTTCTCCACACCAGTCATGATTTAATAAATCCCTATCATATCCCCCCTTAGTCTCCTCTTTTCCAAGCTGAAAAGTCCCAGTCTTATCTCTCCTCATATGGCAGCCGTTCCATACCCCTAATAATTTTTGTTGCCCTTTTCTGAACCTTTTCCAATTCCAATATATCTTTGAGATGGGGTGACCACATCTGCACGCAGTATTCAAGATGTGGGCGTACCATGGATTTATATAGAGGCAATATGATATTTTCTGTCTTATTACCCATCCCTTTCTTAATGATGCCCAACATTCTGTTTCCTTTTTGACTCTCACTGTATACTGAGTGGGTGTTTTCAGAAAACTATCCTCAGTGACTCCAAGAGCTCTTTCTTGAGTGGAAACAGCTAAGTTAGACCCCATCATTTTATATGTATAGTTGGGATTATGTTATCCAAATGAGCATTACTTTGCATTATCAACATTGAATTTCATCTGCCATTTTGTTGCCCAGTCACCCAGTTTTGAGCGATCCTTTTGTAGCTCTTCACAGTCTTTCTGGGACTTAACTATCTTGAGTAGTTTTGTATCCTCTGCAAATTTTGCAACCTCACTGTTTACCCCTTTTTCCAGATCATTTATGAATATGTTGAATAGGACTGGGCCCCTACAACCCCTGGGGAACACCACTATTTACCTCTCTCCATTCTGAAAACTAACCATTTATTCCTACCCCTTTGTTTCCTATCTTTTAGCCAGTTATCAATCCATAAGAGGACCTTCCCTGTTATCCCATGATAGCTTACCTTGCTTAAGAGCCTTTGGTGAGGGACTTTGTCAAAGGTTTTCTGAAAATCTAAGTACCCTATATCCACTGGATCCTTGTCCACATGTTTGTTGACCCCCTCAAAGAACTCTAGTAGATTGGTGAGGCATGATTTCCCCTTTACAAAAACCATGTTGACTCTTCCCCAACAAATTATGTTCATCTATGTGTCTGATAGTTTTGTTCTTTACTATAGTTTCAAGCAGTTTGCCCAGTTGAAAACTAAAACATCTATTAACATATTGTGAAGATACAATAAGCTGCCATTCAGTTTACAATAGAAGCCAACCTTTTCTTTTTTAAGAATTAACAGGGAAAGTCACCTTCCACACAGTAGGGTCTTGGAGGAAAGTGTTAAATCAGTGATTGAGGGGTGGTGTGGGATGTGGGCAAAAAAGGGTCCATATTTTTAAGGGACCTTTTGGACAGAGTTTCTTTTATACCTTTTTCTTTCTTTGCTCACCACAAACATCTCTGAGACCTTGACGTTGTACTGGCTTTAACAACTTTCTGCCAGTGCAAATGGGAAGGGAGCATCATACTCTTAATCCAAAGGAAACCAAGAGATAAAAAGGACAGTCCCATAGAATTGGAGAAAGTTCAGGATTTGTCAAGGGGAATGTCACAGCCCAGAAAACTTGGCTGGCAGGTCTAGAGAATTTATACAGTTATCTTGTAACGGGGCACAGTCATCATGACAAATCCCAATGGGATCCTTGCAGAGAGAGATCGGGATCCTCTCTCCTTGCAGACAGAGCACAACCCAGATTGATCTCTGGCTAGGTGCTTAAGGTGATCAGGCTGATTTTCAGTTTATGTTCATCACTGACAATCTTATAGCACCACCAAAGTTTTTGATACCCATGTGATTGTGGCTGAGTAGCAGCATTCCTTGATATGCACCCATTGGGATTGTTAGTCTTCCATTCCAATAATACATCCCTACCAAGAAAGCTGCCAAAACCAAACCAGTGCTGATAGAGGTGGTTGCTGGGTTCAGCTATGAATATCCTCATTTCTGATCTTGTCCTACCATTTGATATGGAGCAACTGACAAATACGACAAAAATCAAAACCATCAATCCTGTGTTCTTGTGCTCATGTTTCACTTCTGTACAACAGAGCTAGTATAACTGATTCTATAGATCTGCAGCTTCATAGTAAGCTGGATGTCATGATGGATACAGTGATCTCACCCAACTGAAGCTGAAAGAACGTGCCTAAGGCAATAACTCTTCCATTTTTATGAATTAGCATAAAAATTGTTTACAGTCATTTGTAACTACCTGTCCTTCTTGCGAAAGAAACGATGGAAGCTGGTTGATCTGAAATGTTAACTGGATTTGCCAGGTCAACCTCTGTGAGAGCTTAGTCATATATCAAAGAGGAGAATGGAAAAAGGGATAAAGGGGCATGACCATCACGGGTGAACCATAGTCAAAGTTCACTTCATTGTTCCCACTTGTTTTCTTTTTCTTCACTTCCTTTTATATTTATTTGTCCCTCTTTTCCCTCATATTAAGTGATGTAATTGTGGTAAATTGCTTGATTAAAGGAGGGTTTCCTTTAATTACATTCTGAAAGGATTATGCATTCAGTATCCCTTACATTAGGGAAAGAATACAGCCTTTAATATCAAAAAGAAGCTGTGCCTAGAATAAACTAAAAATTGTTATATGATTCATGACTTGGGCCAGAGCACTGATGTTCAGATATGGATTAGTTTAGGCTAGGGCTTGGGGTTCAGGTTCAATGCAGAATCCAGGCCAAGGTATGGTGGCCAGGGCTGGCCTTACCATGAGGCAAACTGAGGCAGCCGCCTCAGGTGCCAGACTGGGGTGGGGGTGGGGGAGCGCCACTAGGACCCAGAGTGTAGAAAATTGTGTCTGCTGCTGGTGCATATGTATTCTCTCTGCTCTAGATGCACAGAGATGGTGGAGTGCTGTGCTGGAGGAAGGAAGGCACAAGAGACAGAACAGGCAGGCAGGAGAAAAGGTGAGAGGGAATAACAGAAAGCAGCAGGAGCTGCAGGGAGAAAGAGAGAGAGGAGGAGGAGCCTCTTATGTACCTCTCTAGCACCCCCAGGAGCCTAGACTGATTTACACCAGCTTCTAAGGGAGCTTCCTGTTTCCTGCTGCTTCCCTGAACCCACTTGAGGAGAACAGGCAGTCAACTGAAGTAGTACGAGCCAGTTAGGCCCTTAAGATGCTGATATCTTCCCTCACTCAGGTCCTGCTACCAGCCTGCTTATTTGTCCCCTTCAGTTGAGTGTTGAGAGCCACTATAGCTGGCAGGGAACAGCAGTCATGAGTGAAAGAAGAAAATGCCCCTATGGGACAGCATTCAGAAAAAGAAAGAAAGCAAAGGAAGCTTTTCTATCTAAACAGAAAGGAGCTCTCCTGAGATACATAGACACAAATGTTCACGGTGAGCCTTCCGGCCCGAGTGAGGATCTGAGTGGTGATCTTCCAGTTAGTCACGGTGCAGGTGACCTGGCAGCTACTGCAGCATCCATCTCTCCATCTCAAATGGAGGTAACCCTGCACATTCCTGAAGAAAAGTGAAGATCAGAGAAGAGAGTGTGGTGGAGGTGCAAGAAACAGCTGCTACTGAGTTTAATTCCTTAAGTCTAGATGATCCAGGACTTTGGACCCACTTGAGCAGTAGCCTGAGGGCCTTCCTTATACTGCATGGGCCACAGCAAGTGAAAAACTTCATGTTCCCCAAAGACAATGAAAATAGATGTTTCCATCCAACACATTACTGGCGTGAAATCCCCAATGGTGACAAAGTGGAGAGGCCATGGCTTATGTACTCAAAAACCCAGAATGCTGCATACTGTTTTTGTTGCAAACTCTTCCAGTCTAATGTTCCAGCCACATTGGGTTCTACAGGAACAAAAGGACTGGAAAAATCTGGCTAGAAGTCTGGCATGCCATGAGAAGGCAGCAAATCACCAGAGAGCATTCCAGAGCTGGAAAGAGCTTGAGATGAGACTAAGGTTAAAGGCCACCATAGATGATCAGCTTCAAGAGAAGATTGCATCAGAGTCTCTTTACTGGCAAAACTGGAAAAGGCTCATTGCCATTGTGAGAATGCTTGCTACCCCAAACCTAGCACTGCGTGGTATTTCAGATCAGCTGCATGTGCCAAACAATGGAAACTTCCTTAAAATTGTGGAGCTGATGGCTGAGTTTGATGCTGTACTCCAGGAGTATCTAAGAAGAGTCACCACCCAAGAAATGTACACACACCACTACCTTGGAAAAACAATTCAAAATGCAGTTACTGGCAACCAAAGTCAAACAGAAGATTGTGGCAGATCTGAAGTCAGCAAGATATTACTCTGTTATTCTGGGCTGTACACCTGACATCAGCCATACGGAACAAATGACTTTAATGGTGCATTTTGTAACAGCAACAGAACCTAGTGAAAATGTTCCTGCAACAGTGACTATCAGAGAGCATTTTCTAAAGTTTATGGACTTTGATGATACTACAGGAGCTGATATGACAAATGTGCTTCTTAAAAAGCTGGAAGATACGGGAATTGCGGTAGCTA